ATTTCACTCATCGACATTTATCGTGCCGGTCATTCAATGTCTTCCACGTGCCAGGCATCTCCGAGACACTGGAGGCTCAGCAGTGACCAAGACACACTTCTGCGTAAGTCTAGGCCTCATCTCTAGGGGGAATGTAGCTTTTGAAAGGTGGAGTCATGTGTATTTTACAATTTTTAAATTTGGGGGCGGGTGGGGTATGGAGAGATAGAGCAAAGTTTTAAAAACGAGAAAGAACTCATGGACACGGACAACCGTGTGGCAGCTGCGGGGTGGGAGGGGGAAGGTGGAAGAGAGTATGAGGGTAAATGTTAAGGGAAAAGTACAACAAAATATAAAAAATAAATTAAAAATGATAAAAATAAACTAAAATATTTCTTATGATCTACCACTACGACTTCAATATAGCAGGTACTAGCAGAGATGTATTTCCCATTGAACTTTTCTTTATTGAGCTTTTTTTATTGAACTTTTCTTTAGAAAACATGTCTGGCTTGTTGAGATTCCAGCTTTCTTTGAATAGTGACTTTTGTTGAGCCTCTGCCCACGTCTTTCCTTACTTTCCTATTCTACTCATCCTGCTTCTTTGCTAATAAATCCCGAATTCAGTAGTAACAATACATGTAGGCTTTGTGTGATTCCAGGGCCAGAAAAGCGAAAAGTGAAGAGCAAATAAATGGAAAATGCTGTTTTCAGCTTCTTCTTCTGAGGTGTTAAACGTTTAAGCATTTCATACTTCCACTTCTAGGATCTCTGTTTTCATTTGGGAGCCCTGACTCTTACCCTGCTTTTCATTCTTAATTCTATTGAAGGTCATCCACTCAGTACATATTTAATGAGTTCTCACTATCTGCCGGTCACTAGAGACACAAAGAGAGTAAGACACAGTCTGTACACTCAGTGAGCTCCTAGTTTGAAAAGAGAAACTGTCAAATGATAAATGTAGTGATGGAGGGTACATTTAGGAAGAAGGTCGGGCCTTGTAAGAGTGTTTGATAGAACGGGGAAGGCGAGCTGAACAGAAAGGCTTGAAGGCAGAGGGTAGCATAAAGGAAGGCAGAGAGGCAACCAAAAGCATCCCCTGCCTTCAAAATTATGAACAAGGCTCCGTTGATGAAGCAAGAATGCAATGAAACAAAGATGGAGTCAGGCCATGGAGGGTCTCATGTGCCATGTCAAGAAGCTTGGACTTTTTCTTGCAGGGGATTGAAGGTCATGATTAGGTTCTAAGAAGAGAGTAAAATCGTCCAACTTATTTTTTTTGTATCAGTCAATATGATAGCCATGAGGTGGGATGCAGTTGAGCCATTTGATATCAAAGGCAGGGAGAAAAGTTTAGGGTGTACTTGTGCAGCTCCGTTCAAGATGCTGAGACCCTGAGTGATGGCATTTGAAAATATAAGGAAAACAATGCATTGTAATTCATGATAGGAAAATAGCAGGAAATGAGGAAATTGGAGTTATGTCTGTAGATGGCTTTATGGGGGACAAATAAAAAGTGGAATATTAAGCCCTGGCTGGTGTAGCTCAGTGGATTGAGCACGGGCTGCAAACCAAAGTGTTGCAGGTTCGATTCCTAGTCAGGGCACATGCTTGGGTTGCAGGCCATGGCCCCCAGCAACTGCACATTGATGTTCCTCTCCCTCTCTCCCTTCCTTCCCTCTCTAAAAATAAATAAATAAAATCTTTAAAATAAAAGTGGAATATTTTCTACCAAAGATCAGAGTAAATTAAAGCATGGCAAGAGAAGGTAGTTAATAATACATACATACTTAAGAAAAGTTTATTGTTATCCTGATTTTGCATTATATCAAGAATTTCTAGCACAGAGGAATGCTTCCCATTTAAACATACAAATTCTTAGGGTTCATTTTTTTAGAGTTCTTAATTTTTTAAATATTTTATTTATTTTTAGAGAGAGGGGATGGGAGGGAGAAAGAGAGGGAGAGAAACATCAATGTGTGGTTGCCTCTCACACCCCCCCGACTAGGGACCAGGCCCGCAACCCAGGCATGTGCCCTGACTGGGAATCGAACTGGTGACCCTTTGGTTTGAAGGCCGGCACTTGGTCCACTGAACCACATCAACTGGGCCTTACAGATCATTTTTCTATCAGCTTTCTGTATTCCCTCCAGAACATTTTATTCTAGAATCCTAACTTGCCCCTGCTTCTTTAAAATAAATCCTTAGTTTTACTGTATCCTCCTATGTTTTGATCTATTTGAACTGGTGCTGCCCCTTGGGTTATGGTTGTCCCCACACCGTGGCCTGACCACCGTCCTTTGACTCCCTCTAGGCCCTTGAGGATCCCACCTGGTCCCTAAGTCCTGAGATTATGCCCCTTAATTATGAAGGGGATTTGGATTCAATGCAACTTCCGTCATCCCATGGAGATAAAGCAAAACATAGGGATAGATTTACAAATAAACAAACAACATATTACTTTTGTAAAACACAAAAAAGTTTGATTTATGTTTCCCAAAGCATAAAGATTTATATATCCCTATTTCATTGAGGATGTTCTAGAGAAAATACTCTAATCATTAGCATAGCAGATATTTATTTCCTTTTATTACCAAAACTCTTAACTTATATCTTAAGGCTTTTCAAAAAAAGCATGAAAAATATAAATAACTTTTAGTGGATGCATTCAAAATGGTAAAGCCATTAGTTAGAATGAAAATATTTAGTAAGCATTTATTACATGGAACATGTACTAGAAATTTCAAGAAAAAATTAAAATAAATGGCTTTTGCTTTTAAGGAAGTTTTAAGACAAAAGTGGAGAAAACAACTGTGAAAAAAACAGTGATAGGCCCTGGCTGGCGTAGCTCAGTGGATTGAGCGCGGGCTGCGGACCAAAGTGTCCCAGGTTCGATTCCCAGCCAGGGTACATTCCTGGGCTGCAGGCCAGAACCCCCAGCAACTGCACATTGATGTTTCTCTCTCTCTCTCTATCTCCCTCCCTTCCCTCTCTAAAAATAAATAATTAAAATCTTTAAAAAATATTTTTAAAAAGTTATTTAAAAAAAGAAAAAAAAAGAAAAAACAGTGATAACACAGAATGGATAAGTAGCACCCTACATCTCTGGACTCAGTGCACGGTTGGGGGCGCAGAGACAAGAATGATCAGATCCATATGGCATTTGTGTAGTCTGAAAAATCGAGAAGGTATAAATAAAGAAGTATTACTCAACAGGATGTCGCTAGCACATGAGACATTGCTGGGGAACATCGGATGCCAGGGTGAGAAATTATCACTGGTCTTTGCAGAAGCAGCAAGTTGCACACTTGGCCCGAGGCTGCTTTGGAACATGCAGGACGCCAGGGAGAAGGAAGACTGGAGACTGGGCCCGGGTCAGGGCCCGGCACGGCTTTGCTTGACTTAATTTGTAACGTAAAGACTGAAAGTGTTGGAGCAGAGAAATGACCAGCTTGTACTGTATCCATAAAAGGAGATGAATGTGGCACCGATGAGGTTTTAAACGGTGGAGAAAACAGACCAAAGGCTACGAGGTCACTGGCTCTAGAGCCACTAGTCCCCGTGACGGGAATGGGGTCAAGGTGACGGTGCTGGGGGAGGCGCCGGGGGACAGCGCAGAGGTATCGCCTCAATGAACTGATAGCCTTTAGTGAACGGCTGAATGTGGGGAGGACAAAACGTTTCAAAAAAGGACCCACCTTTGATCTTCCAGTGACTTGAGAGAATCACTCAAACATTTACAGAGAGACTTCCAAAGACATGATGGTTCAGTGTTGAATGATAGCATTATTTTATTAAATAACTTACCGTATGTACAGGGCCAGGTGATCGCATGTAGCTTTTAAGAAAATGGAGCTTATGGAAAGAACGTGTAGGTCAGATTTACAGAACTGAAGTGTACACTCAAATAAATAAAATAATACATTCAGGAAGGCAGAATGTAACATCAATGGCTCAGTAATGATTCAGCGTTAAAGCCACCCTTCCCCCTCCAAAAAAAATATTCAGAATGTGTGTTTAGTTAACAGTTTAAATGCTACCAACAAGGGTTCAAGGGCAAAAGTTTTGCTGATTAACAGGTCACTGATAATTTCGAGGAAACAATTATGGTAAAGAAGTGGAGATCAAACCACAAGGCAATGCTTAGATCAGGCACCTTTTGAGAAGGTTGGTAGTAAAAGAAAGAAAAAAGAGCAAAAGCTGTGTAAGAAATGTGAACAATAAAGAGAATGCTCACCCTGGGTGGCATAGCTCAGTGGATTGAGCGCAGGCTGCAAACCAAAGCATCGCAGGTTCGATTCCCAGTCAAGGTACATGCCTGGGTTGCAGGCTAGGTCCCTGGTGGGGGCCATGTGAGAGGCAACCACACATTGATTCTCTCTCTCTCTTTCTCCCTCCCTTCCCCTCTCTAAAAATAAATAAATAAAAGTTTTTTTTAAAAAAAGAAAGAAAAAATTGACAGATTAAAAAAAAAGAGAGAGAGAATGCCCTTTCAGCCTAGGGGTGGCCTGCACATCAGTGGGCGGGGGGATAGTTCTGGGGAAAACTGGAAGGAAGACGATGTCAGAGAAGTGTTATAATGAGGTTCCAAGAAATGAGTTACTTGCAACCGGTTAGGCAACTCTGTGAGCAGAGTCCTGGGGGTGGACAGGGATGATGAACATAGAAGGGCAGTGGAAATCAAAAAGATAAAGAAACAGTTAAGTAAGAAGTAGACAAGACAGTGGAAGACTGGACGGATGTAGACAATCAGAACACAGAGAGGAGTTTTAATAACTAGGGATACAGAAATAAACAGCTCTGAGGGTCATAATGAAAACCGTTTCCCAGTATTTTTTAACAATTAAAAACATGTATCTGGGAAAACATAAACAATGATAAGGGCAACAAAAGAGGTCCTATTTGATTCTGATATTTCTTTTGAGTCACGCTGTAGCACGGACGTGAGGGCTCCCCTGGAGAAGAGAACAGAGACGACGTCCCGCACCAAGACCAAGGAGATGCGGGACGGCACCGCTTACCTCTCTCAGAGGGTCGTTGAGTTCATTGAGGATATTTTCCTCATCAAAGATTTTGCCTTGGTATCTGTGTTCGTAGTAATCGTGAATCTTCTGGCGCATGTCTGCCGGCAGCTTATGGAATGACATGTATTGTTCCACTTGCTTGTACTGTAAGGAGAGGGAAAAGGAAAATTAGAGACTATTGTTATGGGGAATGAGAAGCCATCAGGCCACTTTGTGCTGTATTCAATGACACTTGAATGACAGTAACAAAAGGGAGTGATTCCTTAAAGGGAAGGAGCTAAGGGACTGGGTCGTAATGTTCCCCATCTGGGTCACACACCGCGGAAGGTATTTATTTAGGTAAATGTTTCCTGTAATGAACTGAGATATTACGGTGAGAAGGCGTGAAAGGAGTCCAGAGTGAATTTAAGGGTGGAGCCTCAGAAAAGCCCGTGATGGGCAAAAAACAAACAGCAAATATATATATATATATATATATATATATATATATATATATATATATATCAATATATACATATGTATTTCATTTTTAGCTGGGTTCCAAAAGAAGTATATGAAGTTGCTCTTTGAGTCTTCGTCTAGAGAAAGAATCACGTAACTTTGGGTACCACGCACGAAAGGTTTTATCACAGACCCCGTGGGAAAAGGTCAGACCCGGTCAACGCGTGGCACAGAGGCAGGGCGCTTGGCAACTCTCCGCCAGTCGCAGACGCTCCGAAGCACAGCTGCCTGCTGGGGTAGGGCCGCGCGTCACGCTTCAGCGCAGGGTGTAGGAGGGCACGAGGGTGAGGCTGGGCCCACGTACTTTCAGAGCGGAAAGTTTACTGAGACATTTAAGTTCCTTTAACCAAGCAGCGCTTAAACTTGATTGTTCGTAAAATTAGACGCGGGATTGCCTTCTGGGAAGGCGCACGTTCAGGCTCAACCCCAGACACCGAGTCCCTGGATGTGTGTGCCACTGTGAACTCACACGCACACTCTCAGACACCCATGGAGACAGTATCGTTTAGCAGGATGACGGCTAGTGGTGGGGGAGGAGGTTGGGGGTGGAGGGGTTGAGCAAAAAAGAAAAAGGACTCGTGGGCATGGACCACAGGGTGGGGATTGCTGGGGGGAGTGGGTATAAGGGGAGTGAAAGGGTAACTTAATGAAACACAATGCAGATGAAACAGATGAAATACAGACTGAAGTAAAATACGGTAGAGATGAGAAGAAGCAGCTGCTGTTCCACTCCAGCAGGAGCACAGCAGCACCGAGGTCCCATGGGGGCTCCGGAGAAGGGGACGCCGGGCTGCGTCCAGCCCCTCGTGAGCGGAACCTGCCCCTCAGGACCTCCCCATGGCGCATGGCATGTGAGGCCAAGAAGTGCTCCTTCAGTGTTTCAGAAACAGGGGATCGCGAGACCACACTTAGTAAAAGCCCTCAGACTTAGTTCCACTGCACAGATGATAAAACTGAGTCCAGATAAAACAGTAGGTAACAAAACCAGGTACAGACACTGGAATAAGATTCTTTCCTTGAACAAAACATATTTCACGTGTTACCTAGGGAAACTTTTTTTTCTCAAATCTTCCTAATAACAGAGTTCTGACCGAACTATCTAGGTCTTCTGACGCCTTGTTCATACTTATTGTAATTATAATTATAATTGATAACAGACATATTTATGAGAAACAGCAACCCACTGAATTGTATTTCTTCAATTTTCCCCATATAGTTTCCTTGGATATAATATTCATATTGTTTGGATGTTCCCTTTGAGTTGATATTATATCAACTAATATCAACTAATGAAATACTACTAATTAGCAATAATCAACTAATTAGTATCAACTACTACTGATCAGTAATAATCAACTAATTAGTATCAACTAATGAAATACAACTTTGTGGTGGGTGGGCTGGAATGGGAGTAAAAGGGAGAAAACAAAACAAAACAAAAAGAAACACAACTTTGTCATGAGATTTCCTTTATTTGGTCACCACATTATCCCCCTAAAGTATTTAAACCCTGCCTTTCTCTCTCTCTCTCTCTCTTTCTCTCTCTATGTATCTCTCTCTCTCTCTATCTTTATCTATGTATCAATATCTGAAGTAACTAGATTACAACTTAAGCCTTCTAGAACCAGGCACTGATACTGTCACTGTCATTGCGTATAAGTGGTTCCTAGTACGTACTTGGGAAACACTGGGTTGACATTTTCCAAAGAACTTAACCTCTCTAGCTTGCTAGCTCATTTCTGGGGACCTGGATTCCATCTGCTTGGCCCCTGGAAGCTTCTGGAGCCTTCTCTACACACCGCTCTGCAGGACAGAGTTCATTTGCAGCTGCTCTGGAACAGCTCTATTTTCATTTCTAGAGACACATCTGTATCTAATTGTTACTCTTAGCCCCAAAGAGGGCAGAGAAGTGTTTGATGTACTGCGTAGGAGCTAAAACTCCCCTGGAGACCTGCAAGGTTAACTTCTGCACCAAGGACTCACAACTAGCCTCCTTGGTTTGACTAGTCTGGCTTGACAAGATAAAGAGCTACGAAAAGCGTTGTTGGTGAGCTCTCCCCAGACAAAGGCTCGCTGCACAGGTCTTGGCGGGTGAAGCCAAAGAATTGGTGGGGGAAGGCAGAGACGCAGCGCATTCCAGGCGCTGCGAGATGGAGCCGCTGAAGAGCTCACCCCGCCGGGGAAGGCCCTCAGCCTCCCACACTCCTGTGTGTCTCTTTCCCTGTTGCATACACGGTTCCGCTGACTTGAAACAAAAGCCACCTGTGAGGGTACAGCCTACCATCTGGTGAGTCCTGCCAAACACTTGACCTTGGGAGAATAATAAAACCACCGCAGACAATGAGACCACTACAGTTTGGGCGCCGGCTGCAGTGACGAGACGTCCTTTCGGTTCTAGCCAAACAAAGGATGCGTTTCTTCTGGACCAGTCGGCGTCAAGCAGTCCCTGCTTGCTTGTGTCAAAGAGCTTCCTGCCCAAACATTGCTTGGCGTGGTGAGAAATTCTAACTTACCCAGAGTATTGAACTCCAGAGTTCTCAGTTCTTCGTATGCGTCTTAGGGTTATGGGAGGCAGCGTTACAGTTCAGCCGGATCTTATTCATTTGGGACAAACCTGCGCCGGTATACCAAGGCCGACTCACCTAAAATAATCTGCTCTATGTCTGTGTCTGGAGTTGGAGAACTCATCCTTAATTGGCTACATACAAATATTACCTAGAAAACTATTTTATTTTTTTGGTTGAATCCAGTTCTTTTTCCTTACAAAGCTCATCTCGTTCTTTTAGACTTCAGTTTCCTAATCTACCTCGGAAGGGTGTTGGGCCCAATGATCTCCCTCGTTCCTCCAGAACATGTTTCTATGAACATTTTTTGTCATTTACTCATCCTGACTCAAGTTTGGTTTTTGAGCCTATATCACTCATTTTAACCATTCACTGGCTTACAGCAATCATTGATCTAACAAATACCAACCGACTGCTGTGTGCTAATGGTTCTCAGGGTACGGCTGCCAAATACCAGCATCACCAGGGGGTTTGTTAGAAATGCACATGAGTCTTCACCCCAGACCTACTGAATTAGAAACTCTGAATCACAAATGCTAAGCAGTCTGTGTTTTAACATTCTCTGGAGACACTAAAATATCAGAGCCACTTCTCTATGCTAAGTACAGTGTTATCTTAGGACATGAGGAAGCACTTCGAATGAGAGTCAGAGAAAGAGAGGAAATCCAGTTTGGTAAGTTAAGGTGAAGATGTCCACACACATTCTAATGCTTATCTGTAGGTCAGGCTCTCTGGGGAGAAAATACACACTTGGTCCATGACTCAGGGGAGGTGCAGAAGCAGAACTTGTATTTTAACAGTGGTTGAATCAGGGTGATCAAGCTAAGGGAACTGACATTTGGCAGCAAGATGTGAGAGCAGACCCAGAAAAAAAAATGATGAGCACCATCCAAAGAAGGACAAAGTTTCTAAGAAAAGGGGGTACTGGACCTTGGCCAGCGAATGTGGAAATGACACAGCGATCTTAGTTAGGATGAAAAGAACCACCTTCCGGGCCCAAGGCATCGTTTTGCACACTGAGGATTACTGGAAGGTGGGAGTCAGAAGTTACACTTCTCATTTTATTATGGGAGCAAATTACATAAAAGTAAAAATTAGCAAGTTAAATCAAATGGGCCACTGAACGCAGTTTATGCTGTCTAAATGTCCTCGTTTCCCCCCACCCCAAACAACTTCTTTCACCCACAGAGGTGGCGCTACATCCATGCAACCCTTACCTAACCGCTCCCAAGACATAGAAGCTTCCACACAAGACCACCTATTAACTCATTTTGAGAGACACCTATTTTTTCTTCCTTCTGCTCTTGCAACAATGGAAACAGTGTCTTTTCCCTCTTTTGAAGTTAACCTTTTGGTGGTGTTTGAGTATCTTGTCTTTGCTCCTTAGGGACATTATCCCTATATGCTATCTATCCTACAGCTTCAGTATCTACCCTACAACTTCAACTTTCTCTTCTATGTATTGATTCTAGCCAAATGGCTTTTAAACATAGCATTCATTTAAAATGATTAATAGTAGTAATCATTGAATATTACAAACTTTTTTTTCAGGCACGCAACTAAACAGTTTACTGATATTTGCTTTGCTACCATTATCTTCACCTTCCAGATGATGAAGCTGAGCTACAGAGAAGTTAAATAACTGGTAGAAAGTCCCACAGCTAATTAGATGTGAAGTCAGGATTTGAACCTAGGCCATCTGGATCCAGTTTGTGCTCTTATTCACTCCCTGATGTTCCTGTCTTCAAAAAAATGGCTCTCTCAGTTGAGCACAAGCACCCCTCCATCTACTGCCCAAGTTTTTCCCTTTCCTTTCTCAACCAGTCTCTTGACAGAGTGGTCTGCACTCATTATCTCACTGCCTACTGCTCATTAAACCTTTAAATATCAGACTGCAGCTTCCATTCCTTCTACTCCACTAGGAATTCCTTACATGTAAATGATCTGCCAATGATCACCATGATAATTAGATACTTTGCAAAGATGCTGTTATTTGGTATCTGAGCAGCACTGACCACTAGCAGCTGACCCTGCTGATGCCCCATGTCCTCACAGCTGGCCCACTTCTGACCTCCCAAC